AGAGGAGGAAGAGGAGGAAGAGGAAGAAGACAGAGGATGAGGTGGCTGGATGGAGTCACTGAAGCAATTGGCATGAGATTAACTAGACTCCAGAGGATGGTAGAGGACAGGAAGGCCTGGAGGAATGTTGTCCATGGGGTCACAATGGGTCAGACACAACTTCACAACTAACAACAACAAAAACCCAGTCTAAATTTGAGTCTCCCAATAGTACAATGGATCTTAACCATCCTGGATTCAAAGGGCAAGATGGAATTTAGTAATAGTTCTGTGGCACACCAGAAAATCATTAATTGTGTATCCGTATTTTTAAATGTGTCAGACTTGGTGGGGAAGTTATATACAACTCGTTCTTCTCTTATGACCACAATGGAGCCCAAAATCTTCTGTCATTAAGTGAGACATTGGTTCAGTTAGTTTTGCCCCCATTTTACAACCTTTCCTGCTACAGTTGTTAAGTGAATCACCACTGTTGATACGTGAGTAACCCAGTTGTTAAGCGAATCGGGCTTTCCCGTGGACTTTGCATGTCAGAAAGTCACCAAAGGGGATTGTGTGACGCCGGGAACATTGCAACCCCGTCATAAATATGAATCATATTGCCAAGCGCCTGAATTTTGATATGCCTATTATGGGAATGCGACAAATTTCGTAACTGATCAATGGTCGTAAGTCACATTTTTTCAGTGCTGCTGTAACTTTGAACTGTTGTAAGTCGAGAACTACCTGTATTTCTTATTGTTATACGTTTGGGATTTAAGAAGACAAAAATCTTGTGGCACACTAGGAACAAGCCCTTCTGTTGTGACTGAGGCTTCCCAAGAGCCGGAAGCAAACTCCTTGTCCTGATAAAAACCCCTTTTATTAATTGAGTATGAATTCTGCTCATTCACCTCCAGCAAAGTCTTTCAAGGGAGGATTTACGGCCACAGACCTTATCTGGCTTGGAGAGCTGCCAGGCCAATCTCTGCAGAAGGAGTCTCAGAGAGTCATGAACCAATGAAGTGAACTAATGGTCTCCTGCAAACTCCACTCCCCTTTCGCTCCTCTTTTATTTCCTCTGGGAGG